ACATGCCACCTTGGTGGCATCCCTCTTATGAGTCCTAAAGTCATCGATCTCCTATGGAGTAGCAGCAGACTCATAGATTTTCTTCAACTCTTTGCCAAGGATATATTGCTTGTCCTCGTAACGTATAACCATCCCGATGTTCCTGATCCAATCATTAAAGTTGGAACTATCAAAGATCACTCTCCCACAAAGGTTCATGAGAGAAAAGTAGCCGGTAGGGTTTGAGCCAGAAGCATTGTTGGAAGACATCTGAAAAGAAGAAAGACAAGTTTAGATTAGATAAAGAGTCCTTAATATGACACCTAAATGTAATATTAAGGTTAGGACCCAACATAATACTTTATATCATGGAAAAGGAATGCCGTAATCCAAGCTATAAAATATTTGAAGGTAGGCGAATGACGATTCACCAATTTTTACCATGAAAAACGAAATAAATTATTAGGTTTTAATTGGACTGAAACTCCTATATTCTTTTTGGATTCATTAAACTTTTCAATGACATGTTTAAATCTCGATTGTGCCCTCTCAAGTTTGTGACTGGGATGTCAAGGATCACAAACAGGGTGTGAATAACCATGCAAATTAACTTGGTACCCTTAACTTTATCACCTAATTGATGTGCCGATTAACCACACGCGCTCCACTAATCTTTGATAAACATTAAGTTACCCTTTGCTACTCTTACTAGTCCATGTTAGTGTGCCAGTTAACCATACACGCTCCACTATGGACTTGGTAATGTACAAAGTGTAATTTCATGGGTTAGCACCAAATTCTCAATTTCCTTAAGTAACTAAGATTGGGGTTTTATAAAAGATTTAGTTAATTTATCATTATCGTTATACTTAATGAGAGTTATAGTCCTATCCTACCCATTTGACTAACGACCCTCCACCAGTCTAGGAAGCGAGGAAGCGGTGGGTGAGAGTGGACAACCATTAAGATGCCATTTTATAGGCAACAACCTTATACCCCCCTTATAAACTAACTTCGTGAATGAGGCCTACTAACGGTAAGACTAACATCATCATCATATATATATATATATATATATATATATATATATATATATATATATATATTTATAATACTATAAAGTATAAGGGTTGAATTTTAACTTTTAAAACTCTAGGGTTTGGAATTAAAGTATTAATGTGTGTAAGACGTTACAAATTCCAAAACTTGAGGGCAAATTTTTAAACTATTCAAAACTTTTCATTTTATAACTTATGAGTTTATTGGTTTTAAATAAAAGACTTTTGGAATTCTATAACTTGAGGACAAATTATGGAGTCCATTAATTGGCATTTAGATCAAGAATTACACTAACAAACAATTTGCAACCTATGATCTACCAAAACTCATAAGCATGAACATTCATATCACCAATTTTCAAGTAGCATATAAACATATATAAAACTTGAAACTTTGATAATAACCTTTGAAAATGGATTAGCATAACCATTACCACATCAAAAACAGCTTTTAAAAGTCCAAAATAGTTTAGGGTAATGATTCTAGACCAATTCCATCATAAAAACTCAAAATTATGCACTCTGGGCCTCCTACTCGTCGAGTGTATGAACCTACTCGATGAGTAGGACAAACTTTCACTTGGACGCGTCGAGCCCCCCCTGGACTCGATGAGTTCAACGAACAGTGAGCAAAATTTCGACCTTTTTCAGCATTTTGCATCAAGTATAATGAAAACAAGACTAGGCTCTGATACCATTGATGGGTTTTGAGCATTCTAACACTCCTATGGTATACATGCAACCCTAGAAACCTTGGATCTATGTTTTCTCTATTATACATGCAAATTTGATTTTTCCAAGGTTCTCATCCTAACTAGCATATCATGGGGTACTTGTAATATAAAACTAGTAGAATGACTTACCTTTTCTTGTGGTTGATTGCTTGGACCTTTAAGAGCCTAGCACCAATAATGTGAATGCCTTAAGTGGAATCACAAATCACCCAAAACAACTTGGAAGACTTTGAGAGAATATGAAGCGGTCTAGAAATCAGCCCACCCTTGTTCTCACACACTAGTGCCATTTCAAGTGCCAAAGACCTGTAGTATGGCGGATTAGGGTTTCATCCATGTAAACCCTAACACCCATGACCTTTCATTTCCATAGGATCCATGGGTTAAAAGCTCCGTGGACTTCCATGCAAGCTTAGCATATCCTAGATGAACATTGGCCCATTCATCAATATTGTTTCTGAACACCCTGAAAGTGACAAAATCCTTGAGCCACAAGTATTGCTTTGTTTATAATGATGATCCCATCTTCATCAATATTGTTTCTGAAAACCCAGAAAGTGCCAATGATATTTTTCCTAACAGCTTGGGAACAAGAGTCCACACATGATTTCGTTTAAATTCATTTAGCTCATCCTGCATAGCCTTGATCTAGTCAGCTTCTTTCAGGGCATCAACGACATTAATTGGTTCAATTCTTGAAAAAAAATTCATAAACATACATAAGTTGTTGTTGATCCTACTACTAGTGAGAATCCCAGAATTTACATCTCCAATGATTTGAGATTCAGTATAATCTCGAAGAATTCTAGGATAAGAACATTCATTCGTATTATTCGGAACAAAATCTTATGATTAGATGGCTTAGATTCTTTAGAAACTATAAGTTTATAATTTGAGTTATATTGGAAGCTGACAGTTGGATCAACATTAGGAACAAAAGGCTCAGTGTCATTTGGCAATAGGGTCTAAAGGAAGGAAAGTTAGTTCATTCAGAATGGATGAAGGATGATCAATCCAATCATGAATGAATGTATCTTCATCGAAAGTGACAGGAGTAGTTTCCTCAATAGTTTTCCTTGAAAGATTGAGTAACCTGAAAGCCTTGGACACATTAGAGTAACCTAGAACCACTCCTTCATCCTCTTTAGCTTGAAGCTTAGAGCGCTGATATCTTTGATTCAAAATGTACAAACACACCTGAACACATGATATTAAGAGCTGCCAGGTTTCCTCCCTTTAAGTAGGTCATATGTAGTTTTCCTATGATGCTTAAAATGATGGAACATTTTTGGTTTTAACACATTGTGTTGAGAACTTCAACCCAAAATAGCAGAGGAAGACCAGCTTCAACAACCATAGTTCTTCCAGCTTCAGCAAGAGTTCTATTTCTTCTTTCAACAATACAATTTTGTTGGGGAGTTCTAACAGCAAAGAAGTTCTGGGAGATTCCTGAGATTGAGCAAAAGTCTTCCAAGCAGGAATTTCTAAATTTTGGTTCCATGATCACTACATAATTTCATGACTTTATGATCATAAAGAACTTCCCATTGCTCAACGAGTGCAATGATTTCATCAACAACATGACTCTTCTTCCTTAAAAAGATTACCTAGGTAAATCTTGAAAATGATCCATAATAACAAGAATATACTTCATCCCAGCCCTTGACTTAATTGCGACCAGTCCAAAAAGTTCCATGTGGAGAATATGAAGAGGGGTGATAATGGATGAGCGTGACTTTGGCTTGAATGGCGAATTGGCTTTCTTTCCCTTTTCACATGATAAGCATAGTTTATATTTGACAAATTGCATCTTAGGAATTTCTCTCACAAGCTGATTCCCATAAATCTTTGATATGTTCTTGAAGTTCAAGTGAGATAACCTTTTGTGCCACAATCAATTTAGATGAGATTGAGCACGAGAGAAGAAGCAGCGTAAAAAAGAGTTATCAACAGAGAATATATCTAGGACATAAATGTCATTCTGTCGAATCATTGTCAAAACAATGAAAATCTTTTGAACAACAATTTTTCCTTATTTCTTGTTAAAGTGAACTTCATAACCAATGTCACATAGTTGGCTAATTGAAATGAGATTGCGCTAAAGACCTTTTACGTAAGAGACATTCTTGAATACAACAGTGTTGCACTTGAAAGCTCCATATCCCTTTGTAGATCCCTTGCCATTATCTACATATGTAACATTAGGACCATGCTTCTTTATGAAGTCTTCTGGATGAGACTTGAATCTGATCATATGTCTTGAGAAACCGCTATACAAATACAAAATATGTTCTTTACCCTGAAACTACAATATACAATTAATATACACTGACCCATCTTGCAATGGATCACTTAATAAAAAATATTGTAACAATCATCAGGGGACAAATTAAAGAGTTTCCATTTTTAATCCACTTATCATTTTGAGTCATGATATTATCAGCATGAGTGGAGCCCTTGTCAAAAGTGCACTCGCTGACTTTGTAAGAAGCATCACCACATCGATAAAAAATTCTAATTTTAGGATTCTTTACTTTAGATTTTGGTTCCTTTTTAAGTTCAGAGTCTAAAGATCTTTAATTATAGATTTAAAAACTCTTGCTCTAGTTCTGGATCAAGGAATGTCATCAATGGTATGCTTAGATGGCACTTTTTCATGAGGCTCAGGATATATTAAAGAGTCATCTGGACTAGAAGACATTGATTGATCTCCAGGTTCAGAGTTGCTAATGGAGCACTGATGAAAAATGATAAGAATTCCGTTTACTGAATGAATTTCACCATTAGATATTGTAAATTTCAGCAAAATCTTAGTGAAGGGTAGAACATACTCACGATGAGGAGGTTGGCGTGAAGGATAAAGATCATATAATTGAGATACACATTTGGTGTTATCATTAGAGTTAGTAATGCAATGGGTATCAATTAAAGTTTCATTTATAAAATAAGTAATAACAAATCTACTTTTAAAGTCTTTCTCTAGACAATCAACGTTATAAAAGGTTTGTTTAGTCTCTACCTTTTTGATTAAGGAGATAGCACCTTCTATATTGCCTCCAAGAATTTTCTCACACAGATCAGAATCTGATCATAAATAATTCTCGTGACATGATAGTGAGAAGAGGCCTAATTTTTATAATAAGTTGAGTTGATCTAGCATGATCAACAACTTTTTTCCTTTTCAGAATGAAGAAACTTATTGGTTAGTGAGATACAAGTTTTTTCCTTTCTAAAAGAGAAAGAGATTCTTTGAAACAGGAGAGTTTTTCTTTGAGATTTTTAACTTGATTTTGAGAGAAGATTTTTCTTTGTTTGATACAGATAAATCGAAATACAAGTGATCAGTCATGTCAGATTTTTCAATGTTTTCAATGGAATAATAGTTAACAAGGTTTTTTACTTGATACACTGATGTTGAGTCCCAGTCAGACGTAAGGTCTGTAGCAGCTTTAGAAAGATTAGCGGTAAGAGCGCCAACACTGTTATTTGATGTATCAGCTGGAGATTCAACGATATGATCCATGAGAAACTTACCCTTTGAAACTTTTTCATATGAGAGATTTTCTTTATCAAAAGTAGATGATAGAGTGATCATCATCTCTTGTGCAGTTGTGCAATTTTGAACCAGATGATATATAGAATATGGGAGTGAGTTTCCAATAGCAACTCTCACCTTTACGTTGAGATTTAGCACCCTTTTCCTTGTTGCACCCTAACACATATTTATTCTTTAACTCACTATTAGATGCACCGTCATTGGATGACTGATGCATAACGGTGATGACACCTTTGTTGATGATGTCGAGCGTGTCATAGTTCATGATCTCGAGAGAGTCAGTGGCCTCTGATTTCCAAGAAGTAAAGTTGAGTTCATCAAAAGGAGGGATCTTGTTGCAAGCAACTAATTTGGGATTGTAAGAGGTCAACATAATTACTTGAGTGTATAAAAAACCTACTCTGATGCCAATTGAAGGTTTGTATTGATCGGGTACACTTCAAGTATAATTAACAAAGAACAAACTAACTAAACCAAATAAAGAACATAAAAAGTAAATAACATGAATTAATTATAAAGATGTCTTTAACCAAGAAAAGGGTTTGTTCTCACCAAGAGAAGAAATGTCACAAAGACGATTACCAAGACGTTACATTAGGGATTCACCTTAATGTTGAATATATACTAAACTATACTAGTATATCCCTTCAACCAAGGGGTTGTATCTAATCTATAATAACAATTGATCCTGAACACTAGATATCAGATCAGCTATTTATTCTATACATATCAGTATAACTGCCTAATATATGAATATTACATAAGATCACTATCTAGAAGCTGACGTTGATAAGGTCTTGAAGCGTTGATGTTGATGCTGATGTTGGCGTAGATGCTGACGGCCAATGTGTAAACTGTTTGACTCGTCAGATCATAAGATATGACCTTACACAGATAAATGAACAAAGTACACAACTACTCAAATAAAAAGACAAATTCTGATTTCAGATTTTCAAGCATAAGTCAGATTTACGATTCTCAAGCATAATTCTGATTTCTAAGTTTCAAGCATAGTTCTGATTTTAGATTTTCCACATTATCAAGCATAATTCTGATTTCATACATAAATCATAGTTCATATATACAAAAAAATTAAGAAATTTTCAGTTTTTTCATACATAAAAATACAAACATACAATCGTGATTTCATACATAAAACATATCGACATATATTCCTAATTTCATACATAAAACCCACCAACAATACCAACATACAATTTTGATTTCATACATAAAACATACCAGCATTGAGAATTACCAACATACAAGCATACATACATCATATTTTCCAGAAAAAAAAAATTAAAGAATTTTCAACTGATTTCAGAAAGTAAAAAAAAAAATAATAAATAAAAAAAAAAGTAAAGTACATGAATGACAGGTAGAGGTCGGTTCTTGCAATTGGCAGAGGTCGGAAGCTTTGTTTGAGGCGACGACGATGAAATATCCTACGAGAGGATATGGTTGAAGGCGTTATATGGAAGGAGGGAGGAGGAAGATTCGTTGAGGGAATCATATTTTTTTTTATCTAGGGCAAAAATGTCAATTATGCATAAGATACTGTGTCAGCCACAATTTCTTTTGGACGAAGTCGCGCAATTAGTCAATCAATGCTTAGTGGGTCACACGATTTCAACATTTATCGAACAGGCTAACTGGACATTCTCAACAACATATCAAACGGAGCCTTAATAAAAGACTTCAAGGGTATGATTCCTAACTTTGTATTTGTTTTAGTTGCATTAGATATAGTTAAATTTGGGTAATCTCTTGAGAATGAGATTAGAATTATTAGTATAGCTTCTGTTGTGCCATTGTTGTGCCGTTATGACTCTTTTTTGTATCCCCATAACCTAACAATCACTAATGATCATAATATAAATGAGTGAACTAGGAAACAAAGAGATAAATGAGAAAAAAATAAGGTGACATGTGATGAATTGTACTTGTATCTTAAATCCATAACGAAGGAGTCGTTAAAGAACTACATGAAAACATGTATTTGACATATATGCTAATATGGTAATGGATTGGAAGCGAGGAACTGAGGAACTGTTGGAATTGCTGAAAAACTTAAGAATCCAAAGTAGACAGTGACACGATGGTGATGTGTAGACCAATATCCAATGAAGGTACAACAAATTGAATGTTAAGTTATAATAGACGTGGTGCCCAGGGAGTTGGATTGGAGGACGTGCTTGAAATGGTCCAACCGGTTTACTTTGATGTGGAGTTTGTTGTTGATGTTTCTTTTGTTAAGCAACAATGAACATCGAGACTTCCAATGCTTCTTTTTCATAAATTGCGAAGGTCAAGATTGGTTTATAGCTTGAGATTGTTATGGAACTATAAAAATAATATAGGTAGTGGTTTAGACCCTTTCTTGACTTGAGATGTCACATGAGTTTCTTTGATATCAAATCATGAACAATAGATTCAATCTTAGGAAGCTGGGGTACGATAAAGAATATTGCCCCACGTAATACTTCAAAGTCATACCACAATGCCATCAAGGACCGTACCATATTAGCTCATCTCTCAGAGCATTATATGGTTTGAAGAGTTTCAGTTCGACAAATTTGGTAAGTGCTAGCTAATCGTATAAACCAAACAGTATAGAATAGAAGTGTTGAAAACTTATACCATTCTAATGTAGGGAAAATAACTTAAAAGCCCAATGAAGTTTTTAAACCATTCAAAAAACTTCAATTATGTTTTGTATGTTCAAAAAAAACCTAACGAACTTAACATTTTGTCTAAAAAGTCCAATAAAGTTTCAAACCGTTCAAAAAATCCCAATTTTGTTTTGTTTAAGTTCGTTGGGTTTTTTTTTTTTTTTTAATAGTCAAAATATTATTGGAGTTTTTTAAACGTTTTGGAAACTCCGTTGGTCTAACAAGTCATTTTCCCGATATGGTAATAAGCCACGTCATCTGTTTCTTTTATTTGATTTTCAGGAAAATGTAACTTAGTTAGGCTTTTTAGACAAAAGTTGAAGTTCGTTGGGTTTTTTTAAACAGACAAAACATGATTAGGATTTTTCGAATGGTTTGAAAACTTAGTTGGGCTCGTAAGTCATTTTCCCTTCTAATGTAAGCCACAAATGTCTTTTTTAAGTGGTATTGTTTAGCAAATTTGACAAGGTCATACTTGGTTCAAATCATAAATAATTCAACCTTGCACCGCTGCGATCCAACACAAAAACCACTAGTGCAAAAAGTAATCCATAAACAATACCTAGACACATAATTAAAACATTCAAATCCATAAACCAAAATTCAATAATAATTTAAAGCAACCTTGATCTCCCAAATCAGTCCATTCTTGTTCTTTACTTCCACACCAACTCTTGTCCTTACCAAGAACACTCACATTTCTACGATGTATGCATGGCAACATTTGACCATTTGCCCTTCATCTTTGACATTAACATCATTATCATATAAACTTTAAACATTCCTTTGATCTTTACCCATTAAATTTTCGTTGGATATGAATCCTCCACCTCATATATATATATATATATATATATATATATATATATATATATATATATATATATATATATATATATATATATATATATATATGGAAAAGTGAATATACCATAAATGGTATATAAGCTTAAGTACCCCAATATATAAAATTACGTAGTTTGGTTTCGATTAGTGGTTAAATTTTTTAAAAACTACCTATTTTGCGATTCATGATAACGGCTAATTAAAATTCCTCCTTGATAATATGAAGACGTCGTTCAATGCCATTATATTTTGAAAAAGAAGTGTTACTTGCATAATTTATGATTATTAAATCCTTTTGAATTCCAATATTCTAATAAAGATTTATGTGACTAATAAAAGAATAAAAAAAAAAAACCCCTACAAATGAATAGTGGATGCCAAGGAATTTAAGAAGGTTCTATTGGAGAGTGAAAAATTCAAATTCATACTAAATAAGTAATTAATAGGGAAAAGGTAAATGAATGAAGTGGAAAGTGAAAAGTGGACGTCCTCCTATTGGTGATCGTATCATGAATACAGAAAATCAAGGAGGAATTATAATTAGTTTCGTACATAAAAATAGCGAAATGGGTAGTTTTCAAAAAATTTAACCACTAATTCAAACAAAACTACGTAGTTTATCTATCTGGGTACCTAAGTTTATATATTCTAAAAGGTATATTCACTCATTCTATATATATATATATATATATATATATATATATATATATATATATATATATATATATATATATATATATATATACTAGCAGTGCACCCGCGCAAAGCGGCAGGGCGTATAATTCTTTCGGTGATATGTTTTCTCTACAAAAATGTTATGTTACAAAAGAAAGTACATGTCGAAGACAAAATAATCAAATTATGGTGTTATTTGGGAGATGAAGTCATTTTTTGTTCCTGGACGGTGAGTTTTATAACAGAGGAGGGAACAAAGAGGTATATATATGATTGGAGGGATATTTGAATCAACATGCTAAATTTAAGGATATATCTAAAAGGGTTCAAAATTTGAATGAATCCGGGATATAAGGGAACCATATCAAATTGCTGAGAAATATAAGGAGATTTTATGATAAATATTTGAATTCAAAATTTCGTTAAAATTTAATATTATTTTATTAATGGTTAGTTGTACTATCAGCTTTATCATTTGAACGTCTTAAAAAAATATTATTATTATAATCAATCTATTTTAAAAAATACTTAGATTTCTTTTATAAGATAGTGTATATATATATATATATATATATATATATATATATATATATATATATATATATATATCCGGTAAGAAATTTTTTTTGGTAGGAAGGTAAAAAGTTTTTTTTCTACATATTTTTTTGACGAACAAAATAAATGAATCACTAGATGATTCATTTGTAAGATGATTCACAAGAAAAAAATCCCCAAAAAAACATCTTTATGATTCATTTTTAAGTAAATTAAGAAAAAAATTTATTTTTATGATAATTTTAGTGAATAACAACAAAATCATTGTATAAATGAATCATCGAGATG